GGGCGGCCGGAAGCCTCTGCCCGCGGGAGTGAAAGACCTGAAAGATGGAGCCTCGGGCTCGCTCTCCGCGTTGCTGCCGGAACCTAGATTCCAAAAGAGCTTCCGGAGGCAGCGTCTACGCCCTTCGCCACTGCTCCCTTATGGGGGACTCCGGAGGTCTAATGAATAAAATCCACCTGCTTTGGGGTTAGTGATTTCGGTCCTGGAGCCCGCGTAGACGCGGCCCTCCGACCCTGCGTGCTGCGCGCTGAGACTCGCGACGGGGGGAGGCGTTTGGCTCCGAGGGAGGGGAAGGGGGTGGAGGGCAGAGTATATTTCACCTTGTTGATGAACAGGCGCCTGGCTTATTTTCTGGAGTTTATGTGTGTTGCCTCTGCGTGCGTTTATCTGTGAGAATGGTGTCTGAATTGACCTGTTTGTGACTTGGTATTCGCATGCTTGTCTGAATAATTAGCAAACCATCCTCCCCCGTAGCTTAAAATAGCCCGTATTTTAAAAAGCAAATCGCTGCAGGTAGATTTGCGGATTTTGCTCCCATGTAAACACGAATGAGAGATTTCAACGCGGTCAGTCGGGCGTGGGTGAGCGGAATTCATCTCGGGAGTAGAATCGGGCGTTTGGGAAGGGATTCCCCGAAGAGGGTTTAACACAAAACGAAATTAAATGCTTTCTGCACAGGTTCCACACAGGTAGATCAGAAAAAAGAGCGAGGGTCCACCGCGAATGGGTGGTGGAACGAAGACGTGGACCGAGGGCAGATGGCGCCGCGGCCTTGCTCCGGGAGCCCTGACCGCCCTGCTCTTCTACTCCAGATCGCTCCTGCTGCCCTCCTTGCCTTCCTCCTGGGCCTCTCGGAGACTGGACTGACCCATCTGCCGATGCCCCGGCCGAGTTCCGGGCGACGTCGGGTCCGGCGGCTCTCACACGCACCCAGAGTCCCCGAGGCCCGAGGCCCCAGGCGACGCGGAGCCGGTCGCCCGGTGGGGGATGAAAGCCCGGGGGCGGAGGGCGGGTTCCCCTGAAGTGGCGAGCCTCTGCCGGGAGGGGGCGCCCTTGTCTTTTTAATAGTCCAAACACCGTGGCGGAATAAATCTCTAAGACTGCAAGTCTTTTGTTTGCTCTGAATTTATTGCGAGCCAAAAATCGAGGACCCCCGAGACCTTACGTTCCTGATGGCAGAGTAGAGTCTGAGTTAGAGCCTTGGGGGAGTCCGGCGAATCCCGACCCCCACGGGTCTCTACCTGGACCGGCTAGGGTCATCGAGGTGGCGGCCCCTTTCGTGATCTTTCTCCTCCCCGCGTGCGCACCCCGCACCAGGACGCTCCCCTCACTTCGCTCGCGCCCTTCCCACGCGCCCATCTGCGCTGACCTCTCGCCACTTCTGAAGGCGGCGAGGGAGCGGTTTGCTGGCGAGACCGTCGGCGGGTTGGGGTTTATGGAGGCAGAGTGAGAACTTGGGATAGTAAAAGCTTCCTGCATGGGGTTTCGCTGAAAGGAGAACGTGGGACGCGGAAAGTGACCGCCTCTGAGCGGGGCGCGTAGCCGGGCGGCTGAGACGGGACCCCGAGCCTTGGGAGGGTTTTTAATATCACGAAATCCGCCGCCGCCTCCTCTGTCCACGACCCTCCCACGGCCCCCACCACGCACTCACACTCTGAAACCCAGGGAGGGCGGGCGATCGCCCGTTTTTTGATATTGTCCCTTAGTCCCGGGCTCCTCTTTGGTAAATAAATCTGGAGGAGTGTGAGTCGCTTCCCATTTCGTTCTTTCCCGGGAGAGAAGCCAGGGCTAGGATCCCACCCGACCGCGGGCCGTCAACACTCGAATCCCTTGGCTGCGGTGGCCTCCCCGGGGTTTCTTGGAGAACTGCGAGCTGGCCCGGAAAGGGAAAGGCCTTCGAGACGGTGGCCGCCGCGCGCCACCAGCTGCTCCCTGCCGGCCGGCTGCTCGGAACTTAGTCGCGCGGTGCCCCGAACTTCAGGCCTTTGCGGCCGATCGATCCCAGGGAGCGCGTCTGAAGGACCCCCACCCCTCGCCAGCCTGGGCTGCAAGAAGGCCCGGCAAGACCCGCGAGTCCCACCAGGCACTGGGCCCAGGTACACGACACCAGGGAACTGGCACAAGGTCCCGGCTCTGCAAACAGCCGAGCTGCACCTCGCAGTTTCCGGAATCCGCACTGTGGGTCTGTCTACATGGACCGGGAAAAACCCGCCCCTCCACCCACCGGGATTCAGGGTCCGTGGACTGAGCCAGCCAAAGTGACAGGAAGCTAGGTCTCCGACCATGGTAGTATCGGCCACTGGGATTCCTCTTCCCCTAGCCTGGGTCTTTCAGGTTTCACCGACCAATCTACGCTGTTTGAATGGCAGAAGAGCCTGCCAGGTCTCCCAGGCCTGAGGCCCAGAGCTCTTCGGCGTGTGGGGTAGGCACACAGGATAAAATGGGTGAAGGGGACATTTTCTGGATTTCTCTCCTGCCAGTCTATACCACCACGTTTGGGTGTGCCAGAGTGTGGCGTAGGACACTATTCTCTCATTCTGTAACCAGCTGTGCCTGGGAGAGGCCACATCTATAAGGCCACAAGTATCTATTTCGTGGGCTCCCAAATGCCCAGCAAACCATGACCTGCTTTGGTCAGAACTGCCAGGCATATTAACGGGAGCCTTGGAGAGTTTGGGGAGGAAATGAGGAATGGTGAATTACCCAGGCACTCTCTCAAATTCCTTTTTCTCTGGAAGGAAGAATTGATGTGGGCAGCCTGCTGGCTGCATCTTCCCCCAACTGCGAAATCTAAGAGTCAGGGACGGGGGCATGGGAGACAGGGCTACAACCTAGGGCCAGGCAAGGAAGGGAAGAAGTAGCACCCTCCAGCATTGTCCATCCTGTCCAGCTGTCCCCTTGGAAAGATGCTAAACGGGCATCAGAGGAGGGTCTGTCCTTCCCCTCTCCCCAGCCTTCCTGCTGTTACTGGGATAGGGAAGGGTGTGAACGGGAGGGGGGTCTTCGAGGAAGTTGCCCTGCAAAGGGATCTCCTTCCAAGTTTATTCATAATCAGCTCAATTCATGAAAGCGGTTTCTAAGGTGCTCTACAGAGCTCTAGATAGAAAATATGAGACTAATTATCACGGCAGCTAGTACTGGTTATCAGATCATCGCCACTGTGGAATGTGACTGGGACAAGTTCTTTGGGAACCCTGGCGGAGTGGGCTTTCCGCTCCGCGCGGATACGGGGTACCCAGGCGGCCCGAGGGACAGTCCAGGAGCTGGTGGCCTGGGAAGGGTGTCATCTCTGGGGGTCCCTCAGCAGAGTCCTTGGTTCCCGCCTGGTCCTGGCAGGCTCCTGGATTCCCCCAGGATACCTCTGCTTCCCCTTCCCCCACCCAGATGGGGAGATCTCTCAAGGTGTAGCGCTGTTCTTGACCTTGGCAAGAACCTTCTTCTCTTTGACCCGGCGGTTCTGAAACCAGATGGTAATCTGGCGCTCCGAGAGGCTGGTGGCCACTGAGATCTTGCGCCTCTTGTCCTTGGTGATAAACTTGTTAGCCGCGTACTCACGCTCCAGCTCTCGCAACTGCCCCTTGCTGTAAGGAATACGCTTCTTGCGGCCACGACGGAAGGCACAGCCCTCAGGAGGGTGCTGTGCGCTTGAGTCTACGCAGCGGAAAGGGAGAGGGGAAAAAAGCACACTCAGACCCCTGCCCAATAGAAGCCCTGGTGCAGAACCGGGCCCTGCAAGCCCCAGGCTAAGTCATCCTACAGGCGCCCCCAGGTCACTCTACAGGTGCACATGAGCTCCTGCTCCCCCAAAGCATACAGGGAAATCCTGGCTCCTGGTTGGTTCTCTGACCACCGCTGAGCCTCCCAGAGGCCACCCTCACCCTTCACCACTCTCACACTCTCAAGTCTGCAAGCACACCCACCACACACACAGCCAGGCCTTTGCCTACAATCACAAATGCCCACCCTGCATGCATTTGCAGACTCTTGGCCAGTCGTGTAGATTGCATGGGCAAATTCTATACAGGAGGAAACATGTTCCTGCCCCCACTCCCAAGATACACACACACACACACACACACACACGCACGCAACACACGTTCACCCACCCCAATGCACACACCTATGTCATGGCTTCAGGAAATCTACGTTTTCCTCTGGAAGTTGAAAAGCTCGAAAAGCTCATTTAACAGAGAGTGAAGGGTTGCATTCGCTACAGAACACCCAACACCTCCATGCATACCTCCCGCACCTATCCCCCCCACCAAGTGACTCGAGAGTTTTTTAGCCTTTGTGTAGAATTAGCGTGGGATTGTGCTGGGTAGGGACACCCGGATCCCCACCCAACAGTAAAGAGATCCAAGGCTCTCCGACATATTGAAAAGCTGGTTCCATCCCGGGGCCTCCTGGGGAAGTGAGAAGGGCTGGTAACCCTCAGACCCCAGATAACACCCAGCTCAGGGCCCTCACACTGACCCACTGGGGCCTCCACCCAGGCTCCCCAGTGGCCTGGACTCCCCTTCAGAATCCTGATAACCAAGAAGAACCACCAAGCTCCTCCTCCCGAACGAACCCCAAGTGCCCCTCTTCCTCCTCCCAGGCAAGTGCCAGTGGGGCCCTGAACCCTAGGCTCAAGCCAAGGGGAGCCAGCGGAGCGGAGGTTACCTGCAAATGCTGCCTTCCAGAAGGGACCCGGTGGGTTCTGCTCTCCCTGGCAGCACATCTGGCTATTCCAGCCACCGGCGAGGGCCCAGGACTGGTAACTGTCCACGGGCAGCAGAGAGTCATGGCGAGGCTCCCCGGGAGCACCCAGGGTCTGCACCACCGACACGTCCAGGTAACTGGCCATAGGCTGGTAGGTTCCCGGGTAGCCCGGATAGAAGGCAAACTCAGTGGGGCGGCTGGGGTACTCCTCCCCGGCCGCCGGAGTCTCCGCGGGGTAGGCGGCCAGGGTGGCTGCCTGGGCACAGGGTTTCAGCGAGCTCCGGGACACTCGGCAGGAGTAGTACCCGCCTCCAAAGTAGCCATAAGGCACTGGAGCTGGGGACGCCCCCTGGGGCACCCCGGGGCATGGGTGGCACTGCTTTGGCGGCTCTGCAGAGCCTGGCAGATCCAGCGGGGCATAGTTGACAGCAGACATCAGCGTAGGCGCCGCTGGGTGGCTGGCGAGTGGGGAGTGGGCGACTAGATTCCGCCCACCGCCCGCTCCCAGCAAGCCTTCCATATCCTTGGCTCCGTCCAAGGTGGCATAGTTGCCCGGCTCCATGGGGCCGAGGGCCGGCTCATGGGATGCCGGGGGTGGGGAATATAGGGGGCACCCAGCTCGCTCTCCCCACCCAGGCCCGGGGAATCTAAAGCGTTTTAAATCGCTCCCAGCTCGCAAGGCGCCTGCATTCGCTCAGCACGGCCGTCTTGACGCAGACACGCAGGGCCCTTGCCCGCGCGCTCATTGGCTGCGGCCTGGGGAGAGAAGCTAATAAAATCCTCAAGGCAGAAATTGCGAAAATACTTTACCCCAGCTTCTCTCTCTCTCTCTCTCAATCTCTCTCCCTCCTCTCGCCCTCCCTCCCTCCTTTCTGCCTCTCTCCTTCTCTCCTCTCCCCCCCTTCTCTCTCTTTGCATTTGAAAACCACACTAGAGAAAAAGGAGGTGTCCTTTCGCTGCTTTCTTAGTTTGGAGAGACCCCGTTGCATGTTGGGGGGAGGAGTGGGGTGGTAGGCGGAGGAAGAGGGGACGAGGAGCCAAGCCCCACCTCTGTCTCCTCCTCTCTGTCCCTAGATCTCTGTCTCCAGCGCTTTGGCAGGTTTAACGAGAGAATAAAAAGCTCTCCCTATAAAGTGTCCATCTCCTGGGGGGAAGGGGAGTCGGGGGTGGAGCCGGGAGGCCGCTCTCGGCCTCAAAGGAGAACCCGGGAATGAGCCTGGGTGAGAGGCGGCTGGGAAATGAGGGCTAACGGCTATTTCTTGGAGCCCCTTACTTTGGGTCCCGGGTAGCAACACCCCAGTTCATTCCAGATGCCCTCCCTGTCCCACATGTGCTGTAATGACACTCCTTGGACACCCCTTTCCCAGGGACTCAAAGCTACTGCCCAGAAGGCACTGGAGGCCCCATCGGGTGAGGCGAGGGGAGGGGGGCGGCGGGGGACACGAACTCAGACGTAGAAGACGCGCGATCCGGATGAAGCCAGGACACTCAACGTCCGGACCCGAAAGGGAAATTTAACCTCTAGACGTGGTCTGCGAAGAAAGGGGGTCTGGATTTTCGTTTAAGGGTGGGGAAACAGATACAGAGAGACAGACGTACTTGGAAAGAGAGAGAGAGAGGTCCAGGGATAATGGCACAGAGAGGGGAAAAAAGTTAAAGGAGAGCTTGGGACAGAATCTTATAAACTCCTGAAGTGCTAGTTGGAAAGAAAAAAAAACGTCCTCTTCCCCTCTTCCTGGGACCTAGGGAAGTCTGGGGAAACCAGACCTGGCTAAGTGCCATGAACCAACTGTGGGACTTCTGGACCCCAAGAAAGTAGGCGCCTGGCTGGTGTGGGGATGCCCAGCCTCTCTGCCCTGCAGTCCTCTCCCTGCGATCCAGGAGGCCCAGGAAAACGTCCCTTGCACTGGCCCAGGACCCCTGTCTGCCTCCTCCAAGCTTTAAATTTCCTTAGAAGGAAAAGAGAATGGGAGGGAGAGCTCTGACCACTGGCAGAATTGCTTGAGGCCCCTCTGTTGGGGCCTATTGTGCAGTGCAGTTCACAAGAATCAAACGGCTTGTTTCACAAATCTGTCTTTAGAGGTTTTCTGTTTCCTTTATTACCCCTCCCAAATCAAATCTTTCTGTGTGTTTTTTCTAGAATCCTCGGTTTTTCTAGAGAAGACAAGAATTTTTCCATTCTACACCAAGGTCTTGGCAATAATAGGAAATTGACCACCCTGAGCTCCGGGTAGGCTCAGCCTTGTCCCATCACCAACTTGAACTTGAACTTGAGCCACCTTGTGAAAAAGGGTTCATGCAAGCTGGAGTTGCTACCTTCTGCAAGGCTGTAGTGGAGAGTGTAGATCCCTCTTAAAGAAGGACTAATAATGAGACACCGAGCAAGGAATTCTTCCTAGATTTTATTGTATTTGAAAACAACATGAAGGAAAAGGAAGAAGATATCTCTCTGATGTTTTCCATTTTCTCATCATGTAGTCTCTTGCTTGTCTAATTATGAAAGGCAGAAATATGGGGATTTTAACCTAAAGACTAAGAATTTTTCACTGTTTTTTACATAGGGTATGGTCACAGTTTCAGCCTCCACTGGACAAACACACACACACACACACACGCACGCACACGCACACACATGTGGGCAAAATTTATGTGGGTAAAACTGATAGGCATGAATAGACCCCTACATTAAAAAATTAATAACCATAGTCATACCCTATGATCCAGCAATTCCACTCCTGGGCATAAACCCAACAGAAACGAATGTTATATTCATCAAAAGGCATACACAACCCACAGCAACTTTATCTACAGTAGCTAAAAGCTAGAAGCAACCCAAATGTCCACCAACAGTAGAATGAGCAGAAAAATCATGCTATGATTAAATAACAGAGTACTACACCACGATTTTTTTTCTTTTTTTAATCCCTTCCCCACCTCGCCGAGCCAACCCTACACTTTAATTTTTAAAAGAAGAAACTACACACAACACAGATGAATCCCATAGACATATGGGTGAAAGAAGTCAGACAGAAAAGAGTAACTTTTGTGTAACTCTATTTCTATACAGTTCATGAACAAACAAAATTAGTGTATGGTGATAGAGGTCAGAATAGACATCGCTGTGGGAAGGAGGGGCTCCTGATTGGAGGAGACATAAGAAGTCTTCTAGCGTGCTGGAAACCCTCTGGGTTTCAACCTGAATGCTAACTACACGGGTTTGTTCACTTTGAAAATTCATTGAGCTGTACACTTGGGATTTCTGCACTTTACTGTACATCTGTTATATTTCAAATTTTGAAAGGAAAACTTTTTTAAAATGTTAATTCATAGGCAACACTGGCAGCAACTGTACTTTTTGGATACATAGTGTTCTTATCCATGTTCATTGAAATAAACATCTAACTGCATGTAACTCTGCATTGTTGTGGAATGCAGAAATGGTCAACTTGAACTTTGCCCAGGAGAAGGTCACCAATTGTGCTGGAACAACCCCCTCCCCCCAAGTACACACATACATTTCAATTAGAATAAGTACTATGGAGTTTGCTTTGTTTACAATTTACTTAGCACCTACTAGATCCCAGGGAATAGTTCTGTATATTGTATTTGTTAACACATGGGTGTATATTTGCTCCTATTTACTGTATGTGTATGTCCATCTGCCTATGACCCATCACAGACCTCAGCTGGAGTCAGATAAAGTAAGATTAAGTCTCCTTATCTGTAAAATGGGAATCATAATTCCTGCCTCACTGAAATGCTGTGACGATTTAATGCGATTTTGCACATAGAAGCATTTCATAATAAAATATGAATACATATGAGCTCTATCTGTGTTCCTATATGTGTATTTGTTTCTAATGAATTACTAGCCACCTGCTTTTCTTTGACACGACGACTGTCCTAAAGAGTGCCGCTCGGGCGGGCGTGGTGTCTCAGCCTGTAATCCCAGCATTTTAGAAGACTGAGGAAAGGGGATTGCCTGAGTTCACGGGTTCGAGACCAGCCTGGACAACTTGGTGAGAGCTCGTCTCTACAATAAATTAAAAAATAAGCCGAGCGTGGTAGTGTGCACCTGTAGTTCCAGCTACTTGCAAGGCTGAGGTGGAAGGATCGCCTAAGCCCAGCAGGTGGAGGCTGTGGTGGCCGTGAGCCTGCCACTCTGCACTCCAGTCTGGGCGACAGAGTGAGACTCCAACCAAAAAAACCAAAACCAAAAAAGAGTGCTGGTCAATTCTCACTTGCCACCCTACGACTTTAGTTTTCACGTAGAGAAACTGCGGCTCTATATGAGCTCAGCAAACACGTCTCCGCACAACCCAGGCGTCCTGATCTCCCAGCCTGCCTGAGCTGAGCCTGCCCCTCCCCCAGCCCCACAGAAGCCTTTGTGTCCTGCTGGGAGCCTCCTGGCAGACCTTCCTGGAGCCGGAGCCTCCCCCGGCCTCCTTTACGGACCCAGCCAAACGCGCTGAAAGCCTCAGCGTGCTCCTTTACATACCGGCCAGACACCTCCAGGAAGGTCAAGGCCAAGTTGAAAGTTAAGAGTCTGTTTACCTCCGGGAGCCCATTCAGCCCGGCCCCACAGACCGCCTGTGACCTTTACAGCCCGGCCTTTGAGCGCGGCCGCCGCGCCCCCAGGGGTTCCGGCCACGGGGACTTGGCACCTCGGTGTCAGCTCCCGCCCCCGCCCGTGCTAGGGACCCGCCAGCGAGGGGGAGGGGGGCGAGAGGCGCCCACCCGCCGCACCTGGGGGCCTTTGCTGAATTATGTTTTATTTTTTGTGAAGTGAGCGCCTGCTGCCTTGGTTCTCCCAACTGGAACGACGATGTGGTGGCGACGATGGCGGCCCTCAGGTCGGTCGCGAGGAATAGAAGGCTTGATCTGCAGCGGCGTCGCTTCCTGCTCTGCAAAGATTGGGGCTCCCCTGTCCGGCCAGACGGCGCGGCGGGCCTGGCTAAGTTGCATTGGTGGCTTGACTTCTCTGGGTTTTATGAAAATGGCCTAATTGGGATGCTATCCTCTATTCTTTCTGGCTTTCCTTCTGGCTGTATTTTTTCTCTTCTTCCTCCAGTCTCTTGGCATCTTTTCTTTTTATATTTGCGTTTTCCTTTCTGTCTTTTCTTCCGTTTCGGTTATCTTGCCCTTTCTTTGTTGCTTTTTTTTCATCTTTTCCACTCACTTTTGGGCTCTCCCACCCACTCCTTGCTTAACCTTTATTTTTCCTCTGGTTCCTTTCTCCCCGTCACTTACAGTTTTTTCCTCTTTGTTTGCTTCCTCTTCCTTTCATTTTTTCGTTTTTCGTTCGTTTCCGCATGTCTTTTTCCATCTTCCCCGTTCATCTCCATTTCTCTTTTCTTTCTTCTTTCTGTTTCTTTCTCTCGTCTCCGTTTTACTTTTCTCCCTCCTCCAACACACGCGTTTTTCTTTTGCAGCCCTCTAGCACAATTTTCCATTGTTCTTCTCCGAAGTCTGGAAAGGGCCTGCTGGGCTCACAGCTCTCACCCGCCCAGAGGCTGCGCTTGGCAGGAGACGGCCTGGGAGGGCAGCCTGGCGTGGCTGCGCTGCCCCTGTGCAGAGCCTGCCTGAGGACAGAGCTGCAGCCGGCTGGGGATGAGGGGCGACTCTGGCCTTTCTCCCTGAAATAAAGTCAGATGGGACCTCTCTCCGCCTTAAAGGAAAATCTTTGGGACGATTTGCCAGCGAGTCAGAGAGATAAGAGCCCAGAGGATGCAGGCATGGCGGGGGTCAGAAGGAGGCCACTGTCACCTCCTCCGTCCCTCCCCAGCCCAGGCAGCCCTGCAGCATCCTCAGGACTGGAACTCTCTCAGGACAAACCTGAGTGCCTCCGAACCCAGGGTTGAGGGAGTCAGGTATGAAATTATAGCTTATCATGGCCTCAAAACCACG